ACACTAATCACTGTAAAAAGTTGGCTGTTACTTTTTGCTATATTTTGAGTAATTGACATTTTTATGCATCACTTTTTTGAGACATTTATGTTAATAACTTTATAATAAAGCATGATAAATAAAATAATGGGCATTTATTGAATGAGGTGAAAAAAGGGGAAACACTCAAGTTTAGAGGTTAGTTTTCCTAATTTCCCGATATTTCGCTTAATGTGAGTCATAGAGTTTCGATGTCTTCGACAACATTTCTCTACACTTCAAATTACACAACTTTGCCGGAAAAAACCATTCAGCTAGGATGCTCCGTTCAAAAGATAGACTCGAGCGCCACCTATGTGGCGTAAAAATGAACTAAAATGAAACTTTCAAAAGATGGTGCTTTTAATATTGAGCAACTTTGTAGAACATTGTTTCGCTCTAGAAAGCAAACCAAAGGCGCTAGAGGTTTTGGCCACGCGAATGGCTCCGCTGCCCCCACAGCTAAAAAAATTAGTGTAAATTTCCGTTACTATGATGCACATCAATGGAGCGTCATATATCATATAAGTTTAGATTATAGATCGTGTAAATTTATGAGACATGTGATGCAATATTCCATATACAGGGCTGTTACAAGATTTTCTAAATTTGATCCGCGAAATCCGCGATTTCTCAAAAGAAATCCGCGACTTCAAATACTAAGCCGCGACAGAAAAAAACTGTTTTCATTACCTAAAAATAGCATTTGTACACTACTACATGGCATTTCAAGCTTATTGTTTATATCATATTAGATTTGTGCCTTAGTGTTTTTTGAAGTACTTTCACATTTTAAATGAGAGCTTTTTATGCCTGTACCATCCTTTGCCCAAGGAAGTAGAGAATTTTTCCAACCCGAAAAATTAATAGACCGGACGGGAATTGAACTCAGTCGCCTCCAGCATGGACTTAGTTTGTAGCTGCGCCTTTAACGACTGAGCTAAAGGAGTATCGTTTGTAACCTTCGAATTAAAAAAAAACATTGTATCATAGTTATGTATGTATAGTATAAATTCTGAGTAATTAGTGAACATAACAAAACACCCTTAAATTATGAGATTCTATTTAATAATACCGGCCTAGATTTGATGAAATATTATTTAAAAAAATTTAATGCATTTTCATTTGAAATGCAAGTTTTTTTGAAAATTAACCAGTGACGTATTTTGCTGTCCTAAATGTTGTAGTAATTTGGCTCTAGTTTTCTCAATTTTTGACCGATTCAAACCAAACACCCTGCACATAATCGAGAAATTACCAGAGTTTCAACACAATTGTTGGTCCCGTCGCGGTTCTGTATTTACACGGATATTCCTTGGAGTCTGTCCAATGGTGAGACATTTTCATGATATTTCTTTTCTAATATGAACCTACCTCTTTTCGCTGTCAAATCATAACCGAATCGTGTATATGTGACTTTGTGGATCATGCGCGACTTATTACTATGTATACCGGAAATTATAGGTTTTCCAAATCGTTCAGGACATCAGTTGATTTGTTCTAATAGATCAACCAAGACTGCAATAATGTCTTTAGTATTGAAATATTTCCAGACAACGCACAGTGTCTATGTGGATCATGCATGATCTATTTCCGAGTAATCCAGATGTTTAAAATTCTTCAAATCGTCCTGGAGTTCAGTTAGTTTGATCTACTAGAACTATTGTCTTGAATACCAGATGTTTTAAGTACTCCAAATCGTTCTGAGCCTCATAGCCTAGTCAGTAAAGGAACGGTATTACTAAGCCGGAGGCGGCGGGTTCGATTCCCAGTCCGGTCGAGGGAATCTTTCGGGCTGGAAATTTTCTCGACTTCCCTGGGCATAGAGTATCATTGTGCTTGCCCTGTCACACAATATACAAATTCATGCATTGGTATTGGCATCGAAAGCTCTCAATTAATAACTTTGGGAGTGTATTTAGAACACTAAGTTGAGAGCACGCAATAAGTTAATATGCACTATCAATAAGCTTGAAATGCTAATAAGAAGAAGAAGAAATCGTTCTGGAGTTCAGATGATTTATTCTACTAGATCAACCATGACTGGGATGAAGTCTGTAGTATCAAAATATGTCCAATGTCTGTAGTATCAAAAATCACCTCACAGAACGAATTATGGTAAAAATGGACCAATTAAAAGAATGATGAGAGTGTATAATAATTATTGTGAGCATATAGATCTAACGATGTCTAAAGATACAGTAAGGAGAACACTAACTGCTAGTTAAATTTAAAACAATTTTTATTTTTTAGATGTTTGTATATGCAGTCTACATTTACTGACAATTTCAAATAAAACGTATGTTTTAAAATAGCATGTAAGGAAACAGCACTATTGAAAAACGGTCTACACTGATTGACGACAAATAAATAATTATGTCCACGTATACCAGATGCTCTAGGTTCTCCAAATCGTCCTGCAATTCAGATGATTTGTTTTACTAGATCAACAAAGACTAGGATAATATCTGTAGTATCGAAATATCGATTTGGAAATCCTAGAACAATTGGCATACGCGGAAATAGGTTGGCATGATCCACATAGACACTGCAAATTTGTTTGGGCATATTTCGATACTACAGATATTGAATTGGGTGATCTAGTAGAAAAATAATCTGATCTCCAGAATGATTTCAGAACCTATAACATCTTGTATACGTAGCAATAGGTCGGGTACAATCCACATAGACACTTTGAATCTGTTTGGACATATTTCGATACTACAGACATTATTGGAGTCTTGATAGAACAAATCAATTGAACTCAAGGAAGATTTCGAGAACCTAGAATATCCGGTATACATGGCAATTACTCGCATATATACGATTCGTTTGTGATTTGACAACGAAAAATGCTATGTTCATATTGGAAAAAAGGAAAATGTCTCACATTGGACAGACCTACGGGAATTTCCGTGTAAATCCGGTGTGACTTATGGAATTGAGATCATTTTTCGATTATTTACAGGGTGTTTGGTTTGAACCGGTAAAAAATTGAGAGCCAAAAGAAACAAAATTGATGACAGCAAAATAATCCGAGACGGAAAGGTTACAATGAATTCCACAATTTTTGTGACAGCACATCAGTCCCTTCGCGATTTTCGCAACATCATTTAATGTTTCCGCGATTTTCGCGACTGAAAGTTCAAATCCGCGACAAATCCGCGAAAATCGCGAAATCCGCGAAATTCGCGAAATCCGCGAAATTCGCGAAATCCGCGCCTGTTGTAACAGCCCTGCATATATTGTATGCCACTGTCCACTTTTGTTTGCAACATTTCTTGCAAGCTGCTAGTTTACGTGAAAAGGAAGTTACATGTATGAATGTTTGCATGCATGGATGTTTACATCGCCAGTAAAATCAGAATTTTTTGGTGTGACTGTGTGTCGGCAAAACAAGAAAAAAATTATAATATTTTGATGTCAAAAAATAGGGCTTAATAATCTTTCTTCTGGATTTAGCGACAGCTGTTGCGAAAATCAACCATAATGGTAATCCATTGAATAGTGCACACTCAGCCTGCAATCAATAATGTTACGCTCTGACACCAACTGATAGCCAGTTACCAGAGGAGTGCAGAGAGGGACAAATATACCCAATATAAAAAAGTAGCTCTCTACCCTATGGGGTAAAACATTTAACAACACACTTTACGGGGGAAGGGGGCTGTAAGATTCTGTGACAAACAATGTATTAGGTATGGGAAAAACGTTACCAAAGGGAGGGGGAGTTAACATTTCCTGATTCAGATGAAAAATAAATCCCCTTAAAATAAAGCAAAAATGTTATCTCTATCAGTATGCAGTATTATCGCTTGCAAAAGATTAAAAAAAAACTCGTGCAGCGTAAAAAACACACGCAATTCCTGTAGCTATTTTTTTCTAGACAAAAAAAATACAGTACATATGAAAAATCGAAGCCTTGGTTTTGATATGTTATCTCTGTGCCAATCTACCGAAAAAACGGCCGACGATCGAACACGCCACACCGATGACATAGTAAACGATGACAAATCGCAACCAAACAGAACTTTGATAACTTTTGACAAGCGTGTCTATAATGAGGAAATGATGATAACGATTTGCAGCAGCTTTCTTCTGTGAGGTAAGGGATTTGGTGAAGTAGCCGAGAGAGAAATGAACACTTCAAGTGAACTCAATGTCAGGGTAATGTAATGATCTGAGAATACAATACAGTCAGTCTTAGCTTGAACTCACGAACGTACGGTCTATCCCTATAATATCCGAAAGTGGTCTCCGGTCGGTTAAAGTCTTGACATTCTCCCTGTCAGTTCGAAGCCGTGACATCTTCCTTTCAGGAATTTTTCATTCAGGCATCTTCAGAAATTATACATTGTTTGCAAATAAATCAGCTCTCGCAAGATGTATTGATTACCGCGCAATCAATGGTGATTGATGGTTTGTCAGAATAAATTAAAAAAAAATATGAGCAGTTTTAGGTTTCACGGTACAGAGCACTGGTAATTTCTGGTTATTGGTAACGGTCAAAGATAAGCTGATGATAAAATATGATAAGCCAAAAATAGACCCAGTCATTCCATATTATTTAGATTGCCTGAAAGATATTGAATTTCTGAAGCCATACATATCATAGCACTATTAACACTTGGGCCTTCAGATATCTCTATTGGCGTTTGAAAAATCATCTAAATCTGCCCAAAGATGGCGGATGGATTAAAAAAAATACATAATTAACCAAATAAATATACATAACTAAAACTGAATGGGACAGCTGTATTACACGACCACGGTGGTACCACTGGGGATTAATTTTAAACCTAAGATTATCTTTAAAAGGTGTTGAAAACGTGCTCTAAAATTATCTGTCTTAAATGTGACGCAACTACAGCAGGAAAATAAATGGTTTCACTATAGTAGCATTGCGTAAATTACATCGATCGATTGTGAAATATCTTCCCTCATGAAAATAAATGAGCAAACAACAGGATTCATGCACTTACCTCTACTAGCCAGTTCCAGAAGGGATGCATCAAATAGATACTCAGTGGTGAAGTGTCCAGGGCACTGTACTGCAATTGGAAAGAGATGGAAATTGGTATTATCGGAACGCTAGTATTAAATAATCCTAAAATTAATCATAACCACTGGAATGTTCCGACATTAATCACTGTCCCTTCTCGGAAGTGTAGTTGATCTTGCCTGTGTATTAGGTTTGTAAAAAGTTCTTTAAGTACAGATAGAAAGTTTATCTGTACATCATTATGATTGGCGGTGCCGATGGTGTAGTGGTAAGCGTGATTATCCCTCACCCCAGCAGGCCTGGGTTCAATCCCAGTCGGCGCCGCCGGGCTGTTCTGAGGCATAACATATCTGATCACGTCTTTCTTCGGAAGGGATGTAAAGCCGTTGGTCCCCGGTTCATCATTTTGATGGGTCGATAGGAAGGGTTCAGGAGTGGGAGCTTTCTACCTGTCGTTGGTAGCATTGGTGCTCAGCACGGAAAGCAAGATCGACGGAAAACAAATCAAGGGAAGAAAAATCATTATGATGAAAGAATAGGACGAAATGAACAAAAAGTTCACTTTATTACTGTTTTAGTAAACACACAATCACCTTAAAACAAATCCACCGCTTGCCATACCGTCATGCTCCCCTCACATCTTTACAGCTGGACTCTCCACGTCAAGGTGGCGCTGCCAAAAGTTTTCACTGCACTCGGTCAACCGAACTGTCAACTGCAGGAGAAGTCGACATCGGAACGATTAACAGTAGTGTGATTCAATGTGCAATACAATTGAATTGATAATGAAAGAGTTCCAACATTTCAAAGATCGAAACCCTAGAGCAGTGGTGTTCAACCTAACGCACGTCGCGGGTCAAATATTTGTTTTTCCGATCACACCGCGGGCCGCACAATTTTTATTTTTATTTTTTAAACTGGCTTACCTATGTATGCTGAAATTTTTTTTTAATAAAGAATCAAATAATCAATTTTTCTTTAGTTTTTTTTTTTTTCCTTTGGTTTGTTTTTTCCGTCGATCTTGTTCTCCGTGCTGAGCACCAATGCTACCGACGTGCCAGGAAGGCAGCTCCCACACCTGGACCCTACCTATCGACCCATCAACTCATGAACCGGGGACCAACGGCTTTACTTCCCATCCGAAAGAAGGCGTGATCAGAGATGTTATGCCTCAGAACATCCCGGCGGCGCCGACTGGGATTAAACCCAGGCCTTCTGGGGTGAGAGGTAATCACGCTTACCACTAAACCACCGGCGCCGTTAATTTTTCTTTAGTTGAAGATACTAATTTCAAATAACAGACTAAGACTGGTAATTTTTATACGATAGATGAGGAGATGAAAGTATAGAGTTGATAGTTCCGTTAGAGTACGGCAGTGTAAAAATTGTATATAGAGAGTAGAAAGCGAGCAAGGACAGCTTTGAGGAAGGTACAAATCGGGTTGATCATCTCTCTTTACCAAATTCCCCCGTTGTAGAGGGATGGTCGCTTTAATACATGATGATGCAATACGCAGCAAGTTTTCCAAATGTTCATCAGATAACTTATTTCTGGCTTTCGACTTCACTGACACTGCACAGCAACTGTTGTGGCAGTCGATAACAGAAACAAAGTGCGACGTTGCAGTTATTGCGGAACCGTATTGAGTCCCTCCCGATAACGGTAACTGGGTGGCGGATAGAGCTGGGATGGCGGCTATACAAGTAATGGACAGATACCCTATTCAAAAAGTGGTTGCGAACTCATACGGAATCTTCATATGTAGTTGTTACGCACCCCCCAGATGGACGATGGAGCAGTTCCATGAGATGCTGCATGGGCTTACCGAAGAGCTGATCGGACGACGACCGGTAGTCATCGGAGGAGACTTCAATGCTTGAGCAGTGGAGTGGGGAAGCAGGTGTTTCAATGCAAGAGGGCACACTCTGCTGGAAGCTCTGGCAAAACTGGAAGTTATGCTCGCCAACGAAGGCACCAGCAGCTCTTTTCGCAGAGATGGCCGGGAATCCATTATCTACGTTACTTTCTGCAGTCCGTCGTTGGTGGCAAACATGGATTGGAGAATGTGCGAAGGATATACCCATAGCGACCATCAGGCGATACGATATGGCATCGGTCAACGGAATTCTGTGGCAGTACGGAGGGCGAGAACTTGTGACCGGAAGTGGAAGACGAAGGCTTTCGACAAGGATCTTTTCGTTGAGGCACTCCGTGTGGAAAGGAGCCCCGTGGTTCTGAACGCGGACGGGCTGACAAAAACGTTAGTGAGAGCACGTGACGAGGAAACTGAAGCCAAATAACAGACAGCGTCCAGTTTACTGGTGGAACGAGGCACTTAGCACCCTCCGCGCTAGTTGTCTCAGAGCCTAAAGGTTTTCCCAGAAGCCTCGAAAGGCCCATGGGTTGTTTTTTTTCCGGCCCAAACAAAAACCTTTGAACATTCCGAGGATCTCTAAGGATCTAACAACACATTTTTCGGCCGTTACCGATATTTTCAAGGTGACACCAATAAAACTGCGCGGAAGCAGGCTAACCAAATTGTTGCGTGCGAGCTTTTTTCTTTGGAATACCGAGTCTACATAACCAGTAGTGAGGTAGAAATTGAAGGAGTGGTCACCAAAGCGAGTTCGACTAGTGATGATTTCATGGGTCCCGATTCCTTCGGAATCTTTAAAAACCGTGCTCTGCCGAAGGTGAAAATATTGGACTGCCTTCAAATGCAGTCAGTATCCATCGTAGGCTCAAACAAATCGTATTCCTTGTCAAACTCGTTTCGTGTGACCATTCCGGTTCAGCGTTACCTCACTACGTCGCTATTGACAAGGTTCGGCTGCCTGTACGTCTGTTTGTACCTCGGGTAATGAACTGCTCGAAATGTAAACAACTTGGTCACACATCGGACTACTGCTCGAACAAACCACGCTGCGATCAGTGTGGTGAGCAACATCAAGAGGGCCCTTGCGGTGCTCCTCCAAAATGCGTGTACTGCAAGGAGAGCCTGTATGCCCTGACTAACTGCCCGAGGTATAAACAGCAGGGAGACAAAATAAAGCGGTCTCTGTAAGCTCGCTCCAAGAGAACAATAGCAGAACTCTTGAAGAATACCGCTTCATCTCCATTTTGTCAGTTGATGATCTAGACTCTGACTCAAAGGTCGGTGAGGGTAGTCCGTTTGTCTTTAAAGGCAATACGAGAAAACGAGCAAAAAAACACACCACCGAAAAGCCTCGTAAGGCCACTCGTACGGACCACCCTTCCACCTTGGAAAAATCAAGAGGTAACGGAAATGCACCGAAACCCATTCCACCGGGTTTTAAACCTTGTAATTATGACAAGAACTTTCCATCACTTCCAGGATCATCTAAAACCCCAGATGTCCCAGTTTTTTGGCCAGAAAACCAGCTGAATAATTAGCAAGAACATGCCCCTATGTTCACGTTTTCTGCTGTCCTGATACTTGGAAGCATTTTAAGGGTTATAACAAATTACAGAACAATCTACAGAACTTGCGGACAAACTTTGGTAAAAAAATAAAAGTATTCAAAGAGTTGATTTCAAACAAACATTTAGGAGGATTCCCACATAATTTTCGAAGGGAGAAGTTCTGAACAGAATTCCAGAATTATTCTGACATGAAGTCTATAGAAATTGTTAGATGAATTTGGAGGGATTTCTGTGCAGAAGAATGCAAGTTCTAAATTAAACTCTTAGCTAATTTTAGGAAATTTCAAAAGGAGTTTTGAAAATAAAAACTTTAAGGGAAATTCTTACGTGATTCTGAGGAGATGTGAATGGGAATCGTGTGGAAAATGACAGATAAATAAAAAAAATCCAAGGGAATTATGATGAGAATTCAACAAGAAACAGAGTTCTAAGAGTGTTCCGGAGATAATTTCAACCCTAGTGCGAAAAATTCATCACAGAGCTCCAACAGAATCGATTGCCAAAAAATTGTAGATAATCAGAAAAAAAATCTTTAAAATACTCCGAGGGGTTTCTAAATAAAATTTCAAAGAATTTCTACTGCTTTGAATAGAAAGTTTTGAAAAGAATTTCAAAGGAATCTAAGTCTCCGATTAGGTTTAAGGTAATTCTAAGAAGGATTCCAATCAAATTCTTAGTAAGAGTTTCAAGGAAATTCCAAAAAGAATTCAACGGTAATTATTACGCGAAGTGTTTTCTGGTTAATTTCAGAAGAATTCCATGATAATTCAGAGCAGAACTTCAAGTTAATTCTGGAATTCATATCATGAGCATTTTGAAGAACGAAAAATTAAAACCCCGGAAAAGAATAGTTCAGTTTCGGTTTTACAAATATTTGTTTCGAAAGTCCAGCATCTTCAATATTTTCTTTTAATGCTCATGCACTTTACATCTGAAATTGAAACGACAAAAATCAATTTGAAAAATTGCTGTGTGATTAAATTCTAAAAACAATGAGACGGGAAAGATAAGAAAATTATGCAGTAAATAAAGTAAGACATTCATTTGGTGAAGAATCACTCTATTCTAATAGTTTATTCTGAAATCCTGGTGTAAAAATGTGTTCCTATGGCATTGCTAATTTATTTTTCTCGGTTCACTCTTCGAATTCCCGGGTTTTTCCCGGTTTTCCCGGTTTGCTGGCCATCCTGCAACTCACTTTCTGAAGCATTTTCCCTTTGTGAAACATGGCTCTCTTCAGACAACGATCTTGCTTTCCACGATTTCAACATTATTCGCCTTGACCGCGCAGATTCGTATGGAGGGGTGCTTCTGGGTATCAACGAGCTCCATTCCTTTTACAGAATCGATCTACCTTCGGTGACAGGCATTGAAGTAGTTGCATGTCAGGATAATATTCAAGGTAAATGCCTCAGTATTGCCTCAGTATATCTTCCACCGAGAACCGCGATCTCTCGTCAAAGTTTCGCGGATATCTGCACGGCTATGCCGGAGCCACGGTTGATCTTTGGAGATTTTAACTCTCACGGTACAGACCTCAACCTTGATATACGACATGTGCGACTTCTTCAAAATGACAATTCTGAACACCGGGGATGCAACAC